AGGCTGCAGGAGTTGGAAGGATCCCGAAAGCTCACCAAATGTGCTTCTAAAAGTAAAAACTACCGGGGCACCTGGTGGCTCAGTGGGTTAAGCATCTGACTCTTGATTTGGGCTCAGGTCATGATCTTGACGTTCGTGAGATGGAGCCCCACGTAGGGCTCTGTGTTGACCCAAGCACGAGACCTGCTTGGGATTCTATGTTTCCCTCTCTCTCTCTGCCCCTCCTTCCTAGGTTCCCCACCCCAGTCACTTTCTGTTCCATTATTACCCCTTCTTATTCCCTGAAAGCACTTGTCATTCTTGGATAGGACCTTGCTTACTTATTGACTGTGTCCCCCACTAAGACCAGAAAGCTCCTGGAGGATGGGGACCTTGCCTTTGACATCTTTGTATCGTATGCCTACTGCTGTATCTGCCATATATTAGTTCAATATATATATATGTTGAGTGAGTGAACAAAATCAGGCCTGGTTTTTTTAAATAGGGAGGAAATTTGGAGCTGCCACCCTGTCCCAGTCATGACTAAGGATTTTAGAAGCTGATGTCATCCTGGGGGGGAGGCTTGGGAATTGTCACCAGACCTCCCTTCCACTCTCCTACAGGCCTCTTCCTCAGCCCTCCTCTCACATGGATCTCCAGTACTCAGGGGAGAGGCAGCCTCAATGGAGTGACACCACATCTGTGAAGATTCCCATTAACCTGAGCCCACGAGGAGGCCTTTCAAGACCTCAAGATCTGGCCTGAAGAGTTCGAGGCTGGAAAGCATCACCCCCACAGAGCCCCCTCACCCTTGCATAAGCCGCATATAGGATGTGCCCCACTGGGTCTCTCCCCCCAACAAAGGGAGTTCCAGGCTTTGTGGCATGGCCTGCATGTTCTCCTGAGAGATCCTAGAGGCCACAGCCTTCATTTTGCAGGTTGGGTCACTGAGGCCCCAGGTCACAGGGCACAGCCGAGCACTAGCTCCAGTCCAGTGCACTCTCCCCTGTTCTCGCTTTACCGAGTACCTACTGTGTGCTGCGGCAGAGGCTGAAATGCAAGGCTCCCTGCCCTCTGTGGCTCATATAACTGCCACTCTAGACCCTTGTAGAAAAGGGTCTCTGCACTTATTTGCCCACCAGTGTGGGCAGCCCCTCTCGAACCACCCCATGACTCAGCCAAGACCAGGCTGCAGTTTCTGACACAACTATCCTAAAGCTTTAGGGACCACATGAGGGAAGACTGAAGGGGAAAGGGCCACTCTCGGGGCTGGGCCAGACCCTTCCTGTGGATTCCCTTATGGCGCAGCTCCTTAAGACTGCTAGATCCAGACCCATCGGTGGGTCATGGTATCAATTTACAGGGTTACAACCAAGCACATTCAAAAAGAGAGAGAGAGAGAGACATTTCAAGAGTTGAAGAGTTCAAGAGCAAAAGCAAAAATAAGAGCGAAAATACCAGTGTAGGGTAGGTATAGTTTTCATGAAACTTTTGTTTTTAGTATGAGTGTGTCCATGTGATGTGGAATGTATTTCTTCCTGGGGCTCAGGGTCACAACACTGTGAAAAATGCTTCTAGAAAGCTGCAAACCCAAGTATCTGCCATCTACCTCCATATGGGGGAGGCCAGCTCACCATTCCCACCAGTTCAGCCAAACACCCAATATACCCAAGGCGGGAGAAGGGGCCTATGCACTTTACATCTCCGTCATTCAAATTCTAAGTCAGGGATGTTTCCAGATCCAAGATGAATTCTCCACTTGAAAGAAAATTGCCTACTGCTTTTGATTGATAGTTTTTCCAGCTTCTACCTAACCCTATCTCGTCTTACAAGCCCCAAGGCACCCTGCTTATCGTCACCATTACCAGATGTCTTAGCACTCACTACTTGCCGAGCACTCTTCTAAATGCACTATGTGTGTGGGCTCACTTAATCATCACCACCCTAACCACCTATGTGGTTGGTACAATCATTATCTTTATTTTTCCCTAAGAGGCTAGATGAGTCTACGAGTAAGCATCTGAGCCAGAATTTGAATCCAGGTGATCTGGCTCTCCAACCCCAGCGGTCATCTCCATTTGTCACCATGAGCACAGTGCTTTACAGTTTCCACATCAACTCACTTGACTCATTCTGTGAACCCAGCCAGAGAGGTAGCTGTCAATCCCATTACACATTTGATGGAACAAGGTCCCAGGTCACCTAAAAAGCTAAAATTAGTCCTAGGTCTCCCAGCCATCCACTCAGGGCTCAGCCCTCTGGAACTGTGGCTTCCTCTGAATGACCTTTAATGTGTAGCTCACACGTTTGCCCTGCTGCTGTGGAGGGAAGCCACTGCCAAGGCCCAGAAGTATAGAGCTCCGCAGAGGGCAATGGATTCTCTCATGATGCCATATTGGAGTGAGGGGTCCGTCAAGAGAATGGGCACCTTCTGCAGGAGCTCCCACTGCTGCGGGGGGTGGAGCGCATTCTGGCATGCCAAGAACTGACCACGTACCTTGAAACTTCACTTCCTGGGTCAGGGGTCAGGGGTGAATGGCCTGTCTTCAAAGTAGTGAAAACCCCTCCCTGGCTCACCACATCCCTTCCCTCCCCTCTCCCAAAGACGTCTACATGATGCTTCATTATAATGAGTGTTGGCAGTGAGTGAACCATTCTCATCTGGTTCACAAGACTTTGTCCAGCTGAAAGAGTTAAGGCACCAGCAGTAAAGTGATAGGGAATTATAAGATGAATTTTTCTTTTTTTTTTTTTTTGGAAAATGAATTTCTAAAGGGCTTTTTTTTTTTTTTCTTTTTATATCATCTCACTTGCTCCTAAGACTTGCCAACATTTTAAGCTTATTGTTCTGTGTGGTTTGGACCCCCTGCTGTGGCCATCTTGGTCTCCTCCGGGTCCTGGGATAATTTCTAGTTAAAAACATGACGGATCCTCAAATGTTGAAGTTGACACAGACAGAGCCCTCACATGTCTCCCCCAAAGAAATGTGCTGGACTCTTTATTTAAGGGGAAACAGACCCTCATGATTCTGACTCCAACCTTTTCTCTATACCATTCTCTCTTCTTTCTCCCACGAATTTTGTAGATCATAAGGGAGGGGGTATGGTGCAATAGAGTGGGCCCTGGAGGCAGGAGAATTATAAGGACATCACCCCTTTATAATCTTTTTTTCAAATGTTTAGTATCTTTGAGAGAGAGAGAATGAGACAGAGCATGAGCAGGGGAGGGGCAAGGAGAGAAGGGGCCACAGAATCTGAAGCAGGCTCCATGCTGTCAGCACAGAGCCCAACATAGGGCTCAAACTCACAGTGCAGAGCCTGACGTGAGGATCGAACTCACAAACTGTGAGAGCATGACCTGAGCCGAAGTCAAACGCTTAGCCGATTGAGCCAATCCAGGTGCCCCAGAAATCACCCCTTTAATCAAGAAAAACTCCCAATTTCTAGGAGATGAGGAGCTTCCAAGAGGGAAACCACTCTGCCTGCAGGTGGGTGGCTCCACAGGAGTAGCCAATAGCATCACTGCGTTTCCATCAGAGGCTTGGAGGTAGCACTTGGTCACCCTGTGGCCTCAGAAGACATACTTTTCCCTATAGCCCTAGCAAGGGTGGAAATTCCCCTAGGTACTAAAGCTTTCCCTTTAGCCCAAGGAGGCCAACAAAAACTGTTCTCCAAAACATTAAAGGAAGACAAAAAGAAATTTAAAAACCACAAATTCCATATAATAATATGGTTCTTGCAGCAGAGGTTCAGATATTACTTACACACAGCGAATGTGTTTCTATTTCCCACCCCTAAGAGAGGAGGGTTCATGCAAGGCCTAGAGGTAGATTTGAGTCTGTGCTGGGGCACAAGAGGAGGTCACCACAACATAAGGCCTTAG